AGAAAGTGAAATTTGAATATCAGACACTTAGGTGCAAGATTATGCCAAAATTTCATGTTTTCCGTCCCGTTTTTGCTCATTTCTCGGAGGCAAAATCAGCACAAACGCTCATTTGTACGTCATTCTAGAGAGAAATAAATGGCCTTTTTAGAAAGTGAACCATCGATAAGGAAATGTTGTCAGTTTTCTCAAAAAATGCTTGAATTCAAAAAGTTTTAGATTTGCGTGATTTTTTTTGAGTTGCAAAATCCACTTGAACATGAAGCTGCTTTTTTCAAAGTTTCTCAAGAACCATTCTAGCCAGAGAATTCGTTTTGACATCGTTGGATAGAGAATTGAATGGGGGGTGTATGACCCCCATGACCCCCCCCCCTGAATCCGCCCTTGGACATGCAAAGAGAAAATGCCGTTTTCCTTGCCTAAGCCTTACGTAATATACCTAACGTTATTACTTCGAATCACATTGGCTGCTTAAAAAATCAATTTTCTTAGATCCTCAATACCTTCTGATGGTGTTTTCTAAACCATAATTTTCGTACAAATAATAATCTAAGCATGACAAGTCAGGAGGTGCTGGGGGAAGGAAAGTGCACTGAAAAACCAGCGTGCTGTACCACATGCCTTGCCTGATGAACATATTTATTTATTTTTTAATTTGCATGGTTTCGTCATATTTTCTAAATAAGCTTTAAGAAAAATTAAATATCTGTGTATACTTAAATGATTGTCAAAAACGAGTTTTTGACCAATTGCTCATTGGTCGGATTTTATCAATAAAAGACATTAACTGAACACACGACACGACCTGTATTAATTTGACTGTGTGGCTTATGAGGATTTTTGAAATTTCATGAAGGGTGTTGCAAAACCGTTTTTTATTTGCAGGTATATAAATTTTGTTAAATATTCTAAATCAAGTAGGAAGACACACGTGAAACTATAGTACTTTATTTATTAGAGTCTTTATTTCAAACTACATAACATAAAATGAGACATAATTTCCTTACGTGACGCGGAATGTTCTTAAGACGGTGTTGCCGAGACTCGTATTTGAAAATTTCGAGTTTTAGGATACTTCCGATCTTTTCTGAGATCCGGCTCACTGAGTGGGGCCAGTTCCGATTTCTGTCTTCATCTATGATTTATGGTTCGAATCCGTGATCCAGCGATAGAGAAAATAAAATGATTATCACTTGTTTTACTTACTCTATGGATCCGGCCATCACTATTACGATACTTGTACCATGTTGCTATTTATGGGATTGAAGGTATAAAAGCCACTGCTTAACGAAATGCGCACTCAGTTCACACCAGTTCACACTTTTAACCACTCTGACCTGAACTCAGTTTGTAAAAGGCAATCGAAGGGAAACAGTCGGCTGTGAGAGTGCTGGATATTGATAGTTCGGTTTTAGTTTCAGTGGGTGATTTTGCAGCAAATATATTTGCCATTTCAGGTAACCAGTGCAACCTTCTTTACTATTTTCACATCATACTGCAGTGTAAAAGGTAGGAGTTTGTTGTGTTTTGGATCAACCTCAAATTTTAGGTTACATAACTTTAAATTATATTTTAGGATCCAAAATGCCTTGCCCCTTTTTAGCTCGACTAAGTCAAAATTTTGTGAAAAATTATGCCCCCGTTTTACTGAAAACCTATGGTAATCAGTGTCCGGTAATGTCCAGATCTATTAACCATATGACTGAAAACAGCGAAGTTAAAGGTACCTTACATTATATTTCTTTTTTTACATCTAAAAATCACTGTTGCTTAGAGGATGCAATCAGTCCAGGATCAAAATGTCCTTTTTTGAATGAGGTTTCTGGTGCTATTAAGGAGTTGAAACAAGATGATGTCATTGAAGTCAATCAAACTACTAAAGCTAGAACTAATGGTAACTATATACCTAAAATTTGATGACCAGAAATGTTCAATTAAATAACAATACACTAGGCAATCAATACTTGACTTATATAAATAGTAACAAATTTTTGCCTGCCTTACATTGTGGAAAAGAAAACTGAACAAACTTTTAAGTAAAATTATCTATAATTAATAAGATAACATAATAGAAATATTTGATGGAAAATGTGGTAGAGCTCATAAGCAAACTATGTTCTGTTGATAGAGGGTTCTTATGGAGCAATATTGACTTGAAGTTTGGAAAGACTCTTGTTTAAGAAAAAAAGTTTTTATCAACTAGAAACAAGTGATAGTGATTTATTAAGCATACGAGATCTTTATTTATTATAAAGTACCTATTTTATATGAAACAAGGCAAACTCTCACTCGTATCATACAAAATCAACCAAATATGGCGTTTCTGAAATATATTCCAACATATATATAAGCGTTAAGAAAGTAATTGTAAAGACGGACTTTTCAACAACATTTTTTGTTTCGCAATGGGCGAAAAAATATTTACAATTATTTATCGAAAACGGTTGAACCTTGGAATTTTAATTTTTGGCGCAATTTTTAAGGAATAAGAATCATAAGGATAAAAGAAAAAATGTCCCACTCGAACATTCACAAACATGATGAAAATGATAAAAAACCTAAATTAATTAATTTTCTGAATAAAATGCGCCATAAAAATGTATACTCAAATATAAATTTTCATCGGAAACAACAAATGTTTATCTATATATCTATGTAATCGATAACTACATGTTCAGCAGGCAAGTCATGATAAATGATTCCGCTTAAATGAAACATCTATCAAGTAGAATGGATGTTACTTACTTGAAATCGCAATCTATATATTAATCTTTACTTATTATGTAATAGCCTATATTAATAGAACAATAGATTTAGCAGGTTTTGACTACGACGACTTCTTTCATGAACAAATAATGAAGAAGAAGAAGGAGCATTCTTATAGAATTTTTAAAAAGGTAAACCGCCTGGCAGGGCTTGGTCAATTTCCAAAAGCCATTGAATATACATCAGGAGAAAAACCCATAACCGTTTGGTGTTCAAATGACTATTTAGGCATATCTGCACATCCCGCTGTAAAGAATGAAGTTCGGTAAGCAACTCCAGGGATAAACTATTTATCAATATATCATACTTTGCAGTAAATAAATTTTCTACTTTAAAAGCAGAGACACCTTTAGTCGTCAATCGATTTTACCCAAATCGCATCAATGTATTTAAAATATTCATATTTTTAATTGGACCAAGAAAGAAAGCAGCTTCTGTGCATTCGGCAATACGTCCCAGTTTTCTCTTTTTCCCGTATATCAATTAAGCCAATGTTGGCCAATGTAAAAATACTGAGAAGTATGCGTTGCGAGCGAATGTGAACGTTAATATTATTGAAAAGTTAGTCAAGTCAGGGTTATTCCATAGCCGTACTCATTCGTCTTGATTATATAGATAAACAATTCAAGAAAGTACTAAGCGTCGTAATCGTCAGTATTATTTCAACCGATAGGGGCTTACATTTATAGATACGTTTTTTTCTTTATTTTAGAATTGCTTTGGATAAGTATGGAACCGGCGCAGGAGGCACCAGAAATATTTCGGGAAACTCTACTCTTCATGAGCAGTTGGAACGTACATTGGCAGAGCTTCATGAGAAAGAAGCAGCGCTTCTGTTCACCTCTTGTTTCGTAGCAAACGATACCACCCTATTTACTTTAGCGAAAGCTCTGCCAGGGTGTCACATATTTTCGGATGCGGGCAATCACGCTTCAATGATTCAAGGGATCAAGAATAGCCAAGTTCCTAAACACATTTTCCGGCATAACAACCCGGAGCATTTAGAAGAATTGATTCAAAAGGTGGACAACCATTTACCAAAGGTTCGTACAATTAATTGCTTTTGTACAAGTGCTATGTCAAAAAATATGCCTTCGCTGAGTGAAATACGCAGAAAAGATGTGATAAAGAAATGTATGTCCTCAAATTTAGTAAAGAACTGTTCAAGATATGCATTCTAATTTGTATAATCGACAAATGCCGCAATCAATTTAATAACAATGAAGACACATTAAGCAACTACGAGCAAAACAATCGCTGTCGTTGTCGCACTATCATTGGGTGCTTCTCAGGAAAAAAAATAATATGATCGTTGTTGGGTCGCTCTATCAACTCAGCTGACTTAAGTCTATCAGATAGAAACAAAACGCGCCATCTAAGCTACAATGTTCTAACCTAGCGGGATGCAGAATTCTATATCCCTATATACATATAAGATGAATATTATACAGTGGCCCAGAATTCACCCATTTCATTTTTTACCATCTATTCCGATACACCCTGTAATGTGTAAATTGAAACAAATTACTAGTTGGCCTGGATCAAGTCTTGATTATCAACATTTACTCGGAAACAATTTCATCAATTCGGAATGCCATGCTATATAATCTATCTTTAACCAACCTATCCGAAGTTGGCTGCTACGTTGGTTAATTACCGAGGCATTTGCGGGTGCAAAACAAACGATAATTCCATATAAGATTCACTTATATAATATGCTTGTTGGGAATACTTTATAGTATAGTCGTAGTATTTATTCATTAATGAGCGTTATCTTGATAATAAAGGTCACGATGTTAGTTTGTAATTGATGACCTGACCCGATGGAATAAATAATAATAAATACAGGGTGGCTTAGAACAAACTTCGAAATATGTTAATTCGATAATTATTAACAAAAATAATTGGAGACATTTTTATGTCGTTTTCGCTTTCCCTTAATGGGACTTCTTCAGGCGCGTACAGAGATACCTACCATACAGAACAGTAATGCAACACAGTCACGTAACAGAAAGCGTAGCGTATTATCTACCACAAAACGTTCTTCCGTCCCATCAGTTCATACACACCTTAAACAGACTAAATAAACACTGATAAAACACGACAAATCCTGAACATGTTCGCATTCGAGTGCCACACTGCCGAAGCGAACGCCGCATTTTAGAGCACATTTTTGCAAGCCATTCAACGAATTGCTGCGTTTAATTTCAAACAGGAGTAACATCAAAGCTTATAATTTTTTGGGACTCTTTTTATGATTCGCACCTTTCCCGACAGCCGACGGCTCGCAGCGAGCCGTAGGTACGCTGTAACATTTGGATACGGCTCTTTGTGACGCGACGAGGTTCGGGAAAACGTCTGGACGCGGCTTCATGGCTGGAAAATATTATAATTGTATAAGTGTACTGATTACATAAGGATGTGCACTACGATCGACAAGACCGTAGATTGATTACCATGAAGCTGATATCACATTATTCCGGTTGTAGAAAAACGTTTCACTTCTTTTTTACATAATAAAGTTAACAAACAAAAACAAGATAACCAATAAATAATTATAACTTGTTATACTCGGGATTATTCACTCCATACGACACGAAAGATTCCAGTTAAACTATTTGAATTTTTTCGAAACTATGCTTTTTGGATCTATGAAAAAATATGTTTTTTTAAATTAGATATACTTTTTATGATTTATGATATTAGTGTCTAAGCTCACACACAATAAATACCAATTATTTTAAGGGTTTCCTCACTTATATTTTACGTCTATTTACGCGTTTATAAAAATCTTTAGGAAAGGTTCGGACGGATCTGATTATTTAATCATGAGTCATTTTTTTATTTAAAGAGGATATTTTTTCTGTACTTTCAACCTTTTGTGTCTCTCTATTTAAAACCCTATGTGTACAGCTAGTTAGCTGATAATTCTCTAGGGCGACGGGGCTAAAGTATTTTAGCCGTAATTATAACCCGCATATTTGAAGTATCATCACCCTCAAACTAACAGCCGTTTGAAATCTTGCAAAATCTTTAAATGTTAAGTTAAAAATTAGTTATTCCAAAGAAGGCATTTTTAGTATAACAGTCGTAGAAGGAAGCCTCACAAATTCAATTTTGGGGGTGACTTTGAGCGCTGACTACAATTTGTAGTCGAAATAAATTGGTAAAATAATCCAAATTTCTTTTACAATACCTGCTTTTTAGGTGAATGCTTTTTTTACATGGATTGGTCTATCGGCGTAATTCTCGATACTGGAGGCAATTCAAACCCATATTTATTCAGAGAATCTTAGTTACTTAAAATCATAAAATTATTATTAAAAATTATACTCAAAATCCTGAAATGCTTGGGCATTACCATATAATTGAACCAATATTTTAACAAGACAATTAAACCGTACAGATGTATTTGGTCAATACGTACATGCTAGTGTACAGAGACCTTGTTTAACTAAATTATAAAAGCCTTTTTTTGCTGGAAATATAGTGTGATATGGTTTTGTTTTGATTTTTAGATAGTTGCATTTGAAACAGTTCATTCCATGACGGGAGCTGTTTGTCCGCTTCATGAATTATGTGACATTGCTCATAAGCATGGTGCACTTACATTTGTGGATGAAGTACACGCAGTGGGTCTGTATGGTAAACATGGGGCTGGTATTGGGGAAAGAGATAATGCTATGCATAAAATGGATGTTATATCTGGAACTCTTGGCAAAGCCTTTGGTAACATAGGCGGCTACGTAGGTAATGCTCTTTTTAACCTTATATACTATTAAAATTATACTTCTGAAAACCTGTCAGCATATTGAAATCACTATTATAAATTTAATTCTTTATTTGACAAAATACACTTTTTGCAGCTGGAAATGCGAATTTAATTGATATGGTTAGAAGCTATGGATCTGGTTTTATTTTTACCACTAGTCTACCTCCTACAGTATTAGCAGGGGCTAAAAAGGCAATTGAAGTGTTAGCTTCAGAAGAAGGGCAATTGTTGCGTGAGAAACATCAGTTTAATGTAAAATACCTGAGAGAAATGCTGCGAAGGAATGGATTTCCCGTGGAACATACCCCTAGTCATATTATTCCTATCAAAATTGGAGACCCAATGAGATGTTCAGCAGTTAGTGATACTTTATTGGCAGAGAAAGGTCACTATATCCAAGCAATCAACTACCCGACAGTGGCGCGAGGACAGGAAAAGTTACGGCTTGCTCCCACTCCCCACCATAGCAAAGAAATGATGGATTCCTTAATAATGGACTTGAAGGAAGTTTGGGAGAGAATGGAATTGCCCTTCACAGGCTTGCAATGTGCAAATGTAAATATTTTCAGTTTGCCCTATGCATAAATCCTAAATAAACTGTGCATGAAAATTGTTCTAATTATTTGCTGTATTATTTTATAACTTAAAAACATGTTTTTTCAGGAATGTGAGTTTTGTCAGAAACCGATATTGTTCGATTACTACGAATCCAGGGACAGATGTAAAATTCCAAACTGTCCTCAAATGGTGGCAGTAGCATAATGAGTTAACTAACCAAATTCAAGTAATTAAAAGACAAACACGAAAAATGGGTGGAGATGTTGAAATGTGGAATTTTCTGGAAGTTTAATGTTTGGAAATTATTTCTGTTTAAAAATGAATCAGGGGCAAAGAAAATATTTATTTTTATTGGGTTAGCGAAAATTATTTATGTATATATCTGTTATAGTAATTTAACTTATGTGGATGTAAACATAATCTGAAAAATATTAAATAAAATTGCATTTATTAATAAATTACATATTGTTGGATGACGAAAATACTTTATTTATTATTATTTTCCTTTACTTTTATAGGGCGGCATTTGTGATATGATTTTCAACTATAAAAAAATCAGATAGGAACATATTTCCTTCAAAATAATTTTAGACATCTCTCCTTACAACGTCTCATGCGAAAGGTTTTTTTAACACTCCAATTACACATAAAATGTACAATGCTGGTCTGAGCAATTTTTTTAAATTGAAAAGTATCTCAGGATCTAATATTCACGTTATCTGCAAGAGACCAATACGTAATTATAATTTCAGAAGTTTTCAAAGCTATTATCAGTTTGTAAAACATTATAGTCGATTGATAGGAGATGATAATTTCAACATTAAAAATGTACGCGTACTGCTCAGTACTAATAAACAATTATTTATTTTTTAACTGCAATGAAGCAAATTTTAATGAAATATTGCGATTAATCAAGTTACGTCACGAATATATCGACCTTTGAGTGCTATTTTGAAAACAACACACGGAATGATTTGATGTAAATATTGCACCAAACAATAGGTTTGTAAAACGAACTTATTTATGAGTACCACAGTATGCAAACAGTATTACATATGTTAAAAAGGATAAAAAATTCCAATACACGGATATTTCAATCACAACGGAGGCAAAAAACAATTAGAAACGATTATTGATCGCATTGGTGGAAATGAACCCAAAAGCTGGGTGTTTCGGGTCCTTTGTTGTTCAACTTGTTTATAAATGACATTGTTGCTGTTTCTGATGATTAACATCAATAACGTATACTTGGACGACATGGAGCTATTCCGTAGGGTAAACTCTCTTGATGTCTTCAACTTCAGCGGTCTCTTGATGATGATGAACTGCATGGTGTGGTAGGATGCGACTTCCCCTTAATCTATCCAAATGAAGCGTCATGTCTTACTCCTTGAGTCGTGATATGCTCGAACATATGCACATATGCAGGGTATCCCGTAAGCACATAATCAAAAGGGTACTGCGATATTCTTTGGATCAAAAGAAGACGATCTGACCGAACTTTTATTAACAAGAAAGGTCTGGCTCCTCTGCTATTGATGGTCAAACTGCTTCAAAAAGTTTATATTTTTTAAAATATCGGGAGAATGGTACGATGTATTTTCGTGAAACTCGCTGTGAATTTGATCTTATGTAAGACTCATATTTTGATGAAACTATCGAGTTCAGCCGTTTTGGACAAGTGGTGAATTCTTGAGTGTCGTGGTACAAAAACTACCAGAACTTTTTATTTGGTGGATGCAATCAACTCATTTTTTTTGGTTGATGCACTAATCATTTATTCACAATTTTATGCTTTTTGTAAAATCTTGTAGCATTCATAGTTTTTGCGCAAAAAAAATATGACTGTTATGCAATGTTAGACAATTAACTGCAAGGGGGATGTTCTGGGTTGCATCGGTTCCCGAGTCCCTTGTTGAGACTGATAAATCCTTGTTCGTGGAAGGGCCAGAGAAATTGCAATTTCAAAATTTTGATTGACATGTATTCATTTAAATGGTGAGATATTTTATGGCGGATTTTGTATTTGAAGATTTAAAATCTGTTAATACAAATATTTTTTCTCTTACTTGCAAATAAGTGATACTACAGCATCATGGAGCCGTCGAAACTGCAATATCAGAGTGGTTTCGACTTAGTAGGCAGAGTTGTAAATAAAAAGTTAATGTTAAAACAAAATGTTGAACAGTTATTTCAATAAAGTTCCGTATTTACGCATTTTTAAAATAAATCGCTTAAATTAATTTCATGTGAGACAATTGAGTAACCCAGTTATCAGAAAGTAAAAGTTTGTGAATATTATGCAATTTATTTACAAATAAACTACATAAACAGTCACAAATTACGTAAATATTATGTAACATTGAGTTGCAATATATTAGCACAGAACATACCCCAAGGGGGGATATTTTGTGTATATTAGTCACATATTAGTTAGCTTGATGCGGACATAATGAACAGTTGGCGCACCAGTTTGTGATCAACTATTTACGTAAACTGTTACTTTGTGTGACTTGGTTACATAACATTTATGTAAGTGCTACGAGTTTTGGTTTGCTGGGTATATAGAAGTTGTTCAGATAAAATATTTCAAAATTTAGTAGAGTCGTTGGGGTTGTAATCTTCTAAATGTGTACCCTTGCAGCTGACAACAATTGCTAGTTTGCTCAGGCGACTTCACAGGTAGGTACCCAAAAACACTAAGTGCACAGCAGGCGTCAGTTCCCTTAATATAATAAGCCTTGTTCTATGGTTCCCTTCTGAGGATGGTTATTGTCTTGTTGGGTTGTTTACAGAAATGTATCACCATACCCGGCAAATGACCAATTTTCATGAAGGACAAAGAAACGTTCCAGTTACATAGTCAAAGGCGGTGTTTGTCAGCTCAACTGAGTTTTAAGGAAGGAAACAACTCACACAAATTAAGCCAAACAGGCCTAATAAATATCTAGACCAACAAAACGTGTTCTGTGAATATGGAGAACTTCAAGAATTTAATGAAGATGTTGCTGATGACATGCACGAAAGTGTAGATTAGTTAGTAGAAAGAGTTAGATTAGAGATATACAATATAATTTTCAGTTCTATGAAGGCCACGCATATTGTTAGTATATATCGCTCTCGGAAAGAAACTGTTGTACGAAGAGATGTATTAATTCCATAAGTTTTGAATAAAATTGGTGGATAAAAAATAAAAAAGTGGATCGAAGTAATAGAGGTTTACCTATTTTGCCTCGCCTTCAACTTCTTATCGCATTCAGGTTCTATGATAAATGTTTATAGGAATTTATTAAACGTATGCACATAACAAATTATATGCAATAACAATACCGAATATATCAAATATGATGAAACATTTTAGATGATTTACGAGGACTTCCTCAAGCGAGTTTCCTCAGTTGTAATTGTAAAATAATAGGGATGTTACTGGTTTGTTAAAACAAATTAGAGGGGATTTGACACTGCACTAGTTTATTAATTGGGCTAATTGTAGGGATATTTTGGAACATATGTTCAAAAGGAACCATATTTTAACATTAACAGACATGAAAAACGGCTTTAACTCTTCTTGCAATCACCCGCGTTAACATTGCTAGATATTTATCTGTGGGGCCCTCTTAAATAAGACGCTTTGTTTTTCGCTACAGAAGTCGAGTTACTGGAAATAATTTTTAGTGCTGCAGATTATTTTAAAAACAAGTCCGACACAATATCAAAAGTACAGTAAAATTTTCTGAAAAGAATGAATTTATATTTTCGGGAAAACGGTCAACATTTTGAAAATTTGCTAATATAGTGAAATTGGTTCAGTTATTCGGAATTGAAATACTTTTCCATGTTTCTTTTCGTTCCGAATAATAAAAATATTGATTTGCAAGGTATCGTAATTAATTATTTGTACAGAAACTGTTGGGTCTGACGAAAATTTTGCAAGAGTAAATCAAGTTTCAAAAGCAAGTCAGCTGGTAGCTGGTAGTAGAAAAAATTTAAAATTATTTGTACAGAGGGTAACAAAAATACAAACATTTATTAACGAACCAAGCGTAATTTTTAATATTTCCAAGCATTAAAAAAATCATGCTTACGTCAAAACATATTAATTTAATGTAGAAAATTTTGAATCAACTTTTATTATAAATTACAAATTTAAACCAATAATTTGGTGGCGTTATATTGATGACGTACTATTCTCAATTTACAGTCATGGCGAACAAAAACTTGATGAATTT